CCGTGTGACTTCTTCCTCTTTCCAAAGATGAAAATTCAGCTAAAGGGAAGGAGATTTGAGACGATAGAAGAGATTCAGGCAGAATGGCAGATGGTGCTTGACAGGCTGACAAATAAAGATTTCCAGGGATGCTTCCAGGCTTGGCAGCGGCGCTGGGATCGTTGTGTTCACTCCCAGGGGAACTACTTCGAGGGTGATGGATGAATTTAATACCTGAGATAAGTGTACGGGTTTTTATACGCGCAGTCTGGAAACCTTTCGATCGCACCTCGTATACCCCAAAACGAGAAGTACAAACGAAAGAAGGCGTTCTTTTACAGGATCACTGAAAATAGTAAACATCACAAAGAAGTATTATAGTTAATAATAAAAAATCAAGCCTTGAAAGCAACTATCCTACCTCAACCACACGTAATCAAACATAATCTAATCTTTTCCTACAGAAGTGGACTTTTGACGAATCTGCAGATGAATTATAACTTGCTGCTTTTAAAATGCCATTTAATCCTTCTGTAAAATAGTCTTAAGTTGAACAGATGAATGACCAGAGAGGACTGAGAACTGTCTCTTCATAATCGTCCCCGTGAGAACCTAAGATCCTAGCTGAATGACTATCCACTGTTCACGAAATTTACGGAAACAGAGAGCACTTTATATGACATTTTATACAATAATCTTTTAAACTTCAAATTTTTGTCACGATATTATCTCGAAGTGTGACCATGTGAAGGACAGTGACAACTAATAATCATATCTTGATCTATGAAGACGTCTTTACGTACGTCACAAATTTGTCTGCTGAGATTCGATATAAGCAGGGAAATGTAACAGAATAATCTATTGAAAATCCTATCACGATCACTTACGATAAGATAATATGAACGATTACAATGAAACTGTTAACTGTAACAACTTGTGTCTTATTATATTTCGATGCTTTCATAGTACTCAGTGAGTTACGTGAGAACACGATGATGAGATCCCATCCGTTTGTTTCTTCTCGCAAACTGCTTAATGGTTATGTACTTTAAATTTGGTACGCATGGCCAGAAAATTTGCGGGGAAGACATTTTAGTGCACGCTGATAGATTTAAGTATTTTCTAAGAAAAGAAAAGAAAAGCTCGTGCGAAAAAAATTGATGGGCAGTGTCGGACACTGCCGCAGTTATTTTCGTGAAAACGTCAATCGTGTATAGTATATTGAAATTAAACAAATGTTTTGTTTTGAATCGTTTAATTCATTTGCAACTTACATTTATTGAATACAGGGTAGTGGTATGAGAAGTAGGACACGTATGGCTTTGAAATTATTTGAATACCTCTTGCAAATGTCAAATCTATATAAATCTATACAAATTTCATCTATCGAACTATACCTTTCTATTACATATGAAGAAAAAATTCATAAATGTTCTTTTATATTATTTTTTCTTAACGAAAATATTAGTTAATAATTAATAGTTACACATCCATACTTGACCCAGGCTCGTCAGATGCCGCCTGAGTTGTCCGAGCGCGCTTACGTTGCCTATATTCGCGGCAGTACTGCGCGTTGGTTTTGGGTCCGGGCCCGGCGTTTTCGGTATCATTCTCTTTGGAATTTTGTGCTCTACGCATTCGTGCCCGATTTTTGTAATTCTGGTTGTACTTTGCCCTCATATATCGCGACATTTTAAGAAAATCGGGAAATTTTCAAACTTTTTTAGTCTCTGAGATATGATCCCGTTTATGGACACGTGTCGAATCCGGAGTCGAAAATCGTGGGTTCACTTTGCGCGTGCGCAGTTCGCGACGTCCGGCCGCCACGAATGTCGGAGCGGTACTGGCACAAACTTTCATCCTTCCTCTTTAAAACGAGACTAAGATGGCGGCGCTACGTCTATTTTTTGCCGAGTTATTGAAGTTTGAAATTACTTCGACAGAAACTGTCGCTCATTTGGGTGCGATTGCCTTCCCACACCCGGCATCGATTTTAAAGACGTTTTCGCGTCAAAAGGTTCTGTGAGTCGGAACATATTTCTCACTACGTCTACAACTTTTATTTGAAACTTGTTTCAATGTGATGTGTATTTAAAGAAACACAAGGAAAATAATGTACGAATATGTAAAAAAATAATGTATGTAACACTCACAGCTATACCAAGTGTGTAAATTATTACTATTAGTAACCTTCCCGTCAAGAATAACAGCAAAATCTAACACAGTAAACGAATGCAACCATAAATACCATCCCATAAGGACTAAAATCCAGTAAAAGCATTACCATGACACAGCCTGTATTATCCCATAAAGCTCAAAATCCCTCAACAACAAATGATCACCGACAAATCTACTAATACTTGCTTATTACACAGAGAGATTCATTATGCATATCGCCCTGATGATGGAGGCAGAAAGGACCTCTGAAAAGTCGGTAAACTCCTACCAGACTACACGGCGCAACAACTTAGAAGACAGTCACCTTCGGACTCACCGCAGTGAAAACCTCAAATCCTATTTACCACAAAGGGATATTTTTTTTGGGGGGGGGGTTTATGAATAGCACACTGAATATAAAACGAAAAGGGGCACAGTGAGAAGACTAGAAAAGCAAAAATAAAGAGAACTGGGACGATCTGTATGAAGATTAGAAGCAAATGACGCCAAAGAAGCTCGGTGATAAAGTGATATAACAGATAAATCACAAACTGATTTGATTTGATATCTTAAGAACAGTTGAAGTTAATATTATCAGGAAACGTCAGGCAATGGATGAGATATGTCCAGAGAGACAAGGTATAATGAAAATGATATCACAGGCCTAGAGAAATCTATGCAAATATAAAATGAAACACGAAACGCAATGGGAATAAATATGTAACTATCGAAATACGGAACTTGTAAATGATACCTTAAGAATGAGAGAAAGCTATAATAATTACCATACACAATAACGACGAATAAATACGCGTACAAATCTTAATGAGCCTTATTATTTCATTCAGAATAAATAATTACAGACAAAAACAGAAACCATTTGAAGCCCGAATGTCGAATCAATTATACTTAAAAATCAAGTCCCTGCCTCAATGAATACACAACTATTTTCCACTCAAGAATTAAGTACATACTGTTGTTTAGGGAATTCGTTGTTGTCTATTATAAGAATCACTTGTCAGTCTAATCACAATAAAATTCCTATTAAATATTAAAATATTACTATAATTAACATTTAAATATTTAAAATATATTTAGAGAACATCATTTAATATATTTTAAATATTTAAATGTTAATTATAGTAATATTTTAATATTTAATAGGAATTTTATTGTGATTAGACTGACAAGATTTAAACAAATATATATTTATCACAATATGACGCAACTTTATCATCTTATAAGAATCACATTAAACCTGCACAGGTACACTGTGTGAACACAATTCAGACTTATGTGGTACATACACGTACCACTCTGATTCAGGGGTAAAAGAAACTGTTGTTTCGGCAAAGGTAATTCCTGTGACTTTAGAAGGCAGTGCTTAACAATTTCAGACCCTTAAGGTACAATCATGCGTGTCGAGACGCTGAGAAATACGAAATGGGAGAGAAACAAGAATGTGAAGAAGTAAAAGGAAAGGATTACAGGATTGATCCCCTGTTACTCCAATAGAGTGTATGACTATGATTCGACTATCTATCTAAGCCTCGTCTATAATAACTCTCAATAATTAAAAGCGTCAGGAATAAGTAATAATGAATAATGTAATATTGTGGTAAACGAATTAATGCCAATTTGTATCAAAGTTAAGGTCACACAATTCAATTATACATTCGAATATAAAATTAATGGTTCTGGGATAATGAACGAATAAAAGTGAATTTAACCAGAAAAGAAATAAAGAACCATGAACTCGAACGTTATTAACTCCTCAAAAATACTAAAATAATTAAAGGAGATATAAAAATGTAATCGATCATACACTGAAAATGTTTCCTTGAATTAACCTCTTACATTTGGGGACATGTTCCAGCGTTTGTTATTTCCATATTTATAATTTCCAACTGAAAGAACACATTTTCAAAAACGATAAATACAAACGTAATAATTCGGTAATATCAATGAAATGATAAGAATGATGTCTTCATTGCAACAAAATGAATTCAAGACATCACGTAGGCCGTGAAATATCTGATCAAGGACACAATAAAATGACACACAATAACCACTAAAAGTTGTCACTCACATCTTTGACACATGCCACGGTCTGATGTGTGAATGGCATTATACAGATTATTCGCATCGAGTTATAAGCATGTATTCATTTTAAAATTATCAGGGTCAAAGTTCGATTCATGAAAATAGTATATAATACAGGGAGATGAGTTCATTTGAAAGGATACATCTGCTGTTGCATCCAAGTGTAAGAACACAACAGAGGAGAAAAAAGTACTGCTTCATGGCAGGTAAGATACACAATTTGCTTTAAGTAACAGCAAGAAACAGCAACCATCAGTTGTTTATCACCCTAAAATAAATCAGGCCTATTTTTTTCTCTAGAATTATTTGCCGTTAAGAATAATTTACAATATAATAAGCAATTCTGAGATTCGAGGTTCTCACTGCAAATACATCACAAGATTACAACCCAGAATACAGCCATTTTCAGACTCTCAGCCGTGAAAACCTAAAGTCGTATTCATGAATATCTTTGTTAACTTTATATTTAAAGTCCCTACAACATACATAAAACTTTAGATACGGTAGACTGCTCTTTATTGCTAAGTATGAATACGGCCAGAAGATGTCCTGGAATTATCCTTCATTAACTTTTCATAATTTAGCAGATCAAAGGCCAGTACGTCGCATTTGAGAGTGTCCTTTACTCTGAACACCGCTCCCCCTTCCAAAATTGCAATCTCACTTTTAAATGGTAAATTTTTTTTAAAATTTAAGTAAGAAAACATATTATATATTTATTATTCCAGTCTATACACAAACGTGTTTAAAATGCTGTTGTTAAAATTTATATAACACTATAACATCTGTAGTATAAAATATTACAATAAGTTATATTATGTTATATTATGG